GAAAAGTAATAATGGGGCGACAGTAGATGGTGGTGGCACGACAGCAGAAAGAGGACTTGTTAAACGTCGGCCTAATGATTATTTTGGCGCGACAGTAAAAAGAAGACTTGTGAAAAGTAAGGACTGCCGGTTAATGGGGCGACAGTAGGGGGGTGGTGGCGCATACATGCTTTTTTGTGATAAATATGTATTAATCATGAGCTTTTGGTGATGTCATATACATGCTATTCATTACTCGCTCTACTATCGAACCTTTTTATGCTGCCGTTCGAATCAGTTCCACTTGTCTAAAGCTGGGCCTAATGAATCTAATGGCCCAGTTTGGTGCCTAACAGTACCCCTTTCATTCTGTTGAGATCATTCAGCAGTAAGATGGCAAGAAACATACCAACAATAATATAACAATGGAATGTCTACATGCAGAAATATTTGCTCAAGGTCTTGTTTCTGCTGTTATCTATAACTTTCAGGTGAACAAATAAACAGGACCTTGAAAAATTGGCCCCTAGATGGCACACTTCTCTCAAAGAAAACCCTAGTAGAAGGAATGTTTTCATTATAATTACCTTTGAAAGGCCTAACTCTACATGTACATCTGGAAGCACTGGGAGATAAAGTAACTGCCTTCTAAGCTATTTCTAATTCAGGAAATCAAGATTAAATTCTGACATTGAAGCGCATTGCTTATGTAGCAGATGAGTTCTTTCTCATCAATTCATATTTTCAAAAATAATTCCCCCAAGGACCCAGACGACATCCCGATGACCTACTTTGCCATCTTTGACGGCCACGCGGGGACCGGGGCTGCCCTCATGTCGGCCAACACGCTCCACTACCAGATCCTAGAGAAGCTGGACCGGGTCTACGAGCTCCTGGTCAACAGCACACCCGAGCACCGGCAGTTTTCTCGCCGGGGTGACCTGCGGCCCCATAAGTGGCCCTTCTCAGAGACAGAGGTGTCAGTGGAGAGCCTGGTTACTGGTGCCCTGGAGGCCGCCTTCGTTGACATGGTAGGAGTTGGATATTGATTTTTCCATCAGCCGTAGATGGTAACCATTAAAAATTTTTAGTGTGTTCTGCCCTGTCTAAAGAAATTAATGGTCAAAGATTGATTTGTCAGTGTCGTAATATGGAATGGCTCTCAATATTAGCCGGTAGTTACGGGACTGAAGACCATCAGTATACATGCACGTAATAAAAAAATCCGCTTCCTCATGTTGGCCTACTAGGTATTAAGGTTATTCATTAATGTTTTAAAGGGTAGAGATTATTGGCAAATGTATATTTCTTCTCTGTCTTTACCAATCCTCTCCCACCATGTTCTGATCAATCACAGCAATGGTTGTACAACCACACTGTGTGTCTGGACAATGTGTGTGTCAACCTACAACATGTAATCATTTATTCATAGTTCATTGAGTTGGCACATTTTTTTTTTTACAACTTCCCTGTTGGACTGGATTTTTTGGATTGGGCTGTGCCCCTTTACTCTCTGAACCCACCTCTTTTCAGACCTTTTTTTTAATCTTCTTTTGACTGCCCAGGATGATCAAATAAGGCAAGAGAAGCTGTACTTTTCTGTGTCAGGAGGCTGCACGGTGCTAGTTGCCCTGTTTCTGCTGGGAAAGCTGTACATAGCCAATGCAGGAGATAGCAGGTAGGCAAATTGCTTTCAACTGAAAGCACAGTAGGCAGAGCCCTAATCAGGAATCTGGTTGTGGCTATGAATACCCATTGTAACAAGGCCAATTATGAAATCATAGCCATAGCCACGAAAGCGTAATTTGGGACTTAATGACATATATGAAGGAGCAGTGATACTTTGCCTCAGTTGAAAGCAGAACAGACACAGTAAATTGAGTTCCCGATATGACATGAAATCCAGGGTTCCAATATTAAAATGAGTCTGCACCACACTTTCATTGGCGAGGGTTACAAGCAGTTTTGGTTTTGATTAAGTTGAATGAGAAGCTTGACGCTTCATTTTCTGTAGACACATCACCACATGACACACACTGTGAAATGTGATATGCTTTTTTTAGGCACTGTTCCGGCGGTTGGATTGGAATCCAGAGCTGTTTGATATGATGAACGTGATCGGAACTGGGAATCGTTGGTTTAAATTAAGTGTAAAATGTATGCATGCACATATAAAATATGGCTCTGTAAACGTGATGCACATCAACACCTGTAGCCTATGGGTGAGAGTACTCGTGATCGTCAGTTACGATATGCAATGCAGCGTCAACCTCACAGAAATAGAAACCAGCTAATTGACATTGTCATGACTTCTGAAATGTGGAGTCAGCTCTGTAATTCTATAACACAGTCAAAGACTTCCCTCAGCGTGCATACATACTTGAAAACTATTAAGAAAGCTGGCTTTAAAGGAAGAGTCATACGCAGCTGTATGATTTCCATGTTGCATCGTTATCATAGCAGTTTCAGAAACATCAGAACTGTTGCCTGTCCTTTGTCAATTGTCCCAACTACAGAATCTACATTGGCTTGAATATAAATCTTTTTACTTGATTACTGTGCATACAGGCACATGTACATATCATACAAGATTATGTAATCAATCTACAGGTAGAGTGTAAAACAACCAATGTACGTGTTCTGAATCCATAGACATATATGTACCGTAAGTGCATAATATTGGTTTCAAGTACTAAATTGTTAATGTGCTCTATTCTAAATATAACTTTTATGCTGTTACATACATGTATGTAATGAAGTAAATGTGTGTGTTCAACATGTCATTAAGCCTTCAATGTCCAGTTCAGAGGCAATGATGTTAAATTACAAGTAAGAGACAGTAGTCATGTATATTTTAACGTGCCATTTCAGAAAAGAAATGCACTGAAACTATATTTTTTCAAGCAAATTATAATAATCTCCAAAGACATTACTGTGTTCAAAATTATGCTTTTTCCCCAGGTTGTCCGTCAGAAAGATATACTTGGTTTTGCAAAACGGCCCCTTCCATTATTATAAATCTACAACTATGTCAAGTTATTAAATTGGCATTTTATTGCCGACAATTACATCTGTCTTTTACTTCAACAAATTACCGCATTTTTCTGTCCAACTTTCCACAACAGTGGCTCGATAAAATGTTGGTTTTTCCATTCAGTGTCATTTGCTACAGACTTGGGTTTTCCCACTGGTTTAAATGGATGTACATGTATTCTGTCCTTTCACGAGTGTTCACTTTGCGTGAACTTCAGTATACGATACCATCCTCACTGTCAATAGGTGTGTCCTTTGTTTCAATGTAGTAAAGGTCAAGTATGTCTGAATGCGGACACAATTTTAAGTTCTTTCATGACCTAATGAATCAACTAAAAGAGAACAAAGCTACTTGTATATGTATCTGGTAAAGCATTCATATGGGAAAAATGCAGTGGAAAACTTCCAGAATCATGAAGTTGTCTCTGTAGTTAGAATTTATGTCTGCGTTGTAGCGGTGACATTAGGGCATTTGAAATGATTTGGGATACCATTAGTGATTTACATGTAGCATGTATTGATCTTATGTATGGCATTTCATAATGGCAGAATCATTCTATGGAATGGTGTAAAGGTCAATTGCACGATTACCTTGAGTTTTATTTGCTGTGCTTTTATGCTCATGTCAAGTGCATGTATGACCACTGCATTAAACAAATTTTTTTTTAAAGAAATTAAACTGACTGATTTTCAAGACGGGGTTTATTTATTTGTTTGTTTGTTTTTTCAGTCTCTGTGTTATATCATTTGTGACAATCCCTACAGAGCCATCATATGTAAGGGTTCAGAGGTCATTCCCATGTCGACTGACTTCAATCCGGTAACGGAGAGACAGAGAGTGCAATACTTAGCAAGCGTAAAGCCCGAGCTGCTGGGTGACGAGTTCTCCGCCTTGGAATTCCAAAAGCGGGTCCACCGAAAGGACATCGGCAAGAAAGTGATGTACAGGGATTGTACCATGACAGGATGGTGAGTAACTCCTGCTTGACCTCCTCAATTACCTTGCCTCCTCTCCTCCTGTGAGTGTCTCAAGGGAAGACAAGGGGATAAGTGTTCCAATTTCCCCCCCCCCCGAAGAAAAAGCCAAAAGAAAAGGAGGATAGGGGATGAAACTTGGCAACATTGCTTGAAAATACCAAGCACAAGAACCCTTCCACTGTGGGGTTTTTGGTTTGCTGAGTGCTGCCCTACCCGTCTCTCCCGAAATTCTTGATGATACCCATGAGCCCCGTTCCCCTCCCCCTTGTAAAAGTTGCTCTCTATTTTGTTTCGTTTCAAGCTCATTAAAGTTTAGCCATTTTTATTTCCATTTTCTCCGTGCAGCAGAAATTCTTCAGAAATATAGAATAGCTTCCCAAAGAAGCACAGCATCTTCAAACTGTTTTTTTTTTCTGCATATTTTGATATAACAGCAACTGTATACAAACCAGAACTTTCTGCTTGTATTTATGCATTCTTTGTTGATCAGTAGTTATTTTTTAAAAAATCTGAGATTGAACCTATATGGCATTTTCTAGGGTGGCAAATTGGGGGAATATGCTTCTCCCTTATTTTTATCAGACTTGTGGATCTGTTTAGAGGTTTTATCACTCAGAATTTGGCTACTTTTGCTCTTCTATTCCTGTTCTGTACAGCTGCAAATTTTGCCTTGTTGGCCATTAAAAGCCCTAAAGAGTCAAATTATTTAGTGACCAATGTACCACCGTGCTGGGTATCTTGGGTTTTTTTTGATCTTCTCATCTTGCCCCATGCTTTCCCGCTTGTCATCAGGACATACAAGCTTGTCACAGAGGAGGACCTGAATTTCCCCCTGGTGGTGGGTGAAGGTAAGAAGGCCCGCCTGCTGGCGACCATCGGTGTGACCAGAGGGTTCGGGGATCATGATCTGAAGGTTCAAGGCACCGACATTGCCATCAAGCCCTTCCTCACACCAGTGCCAGAGGTAAGACACTGCAGCTGAGTCAGTTTTACTGTTTGAATATTCAAACATTATATCTTCCATTTGACTGAATATTTGAATATTCAATTTTACCAAAGTCACACATAAGCAAAGAACTTTAAAGGAAGGGAAAGTTTGGTCTTATTGTTCAGCCGGTGCGTTTAACTGCCTTAGAATGCAGTTTTGTTACCAACCAGTTTAACTTTCCCTTCTTTACTCTTTTGATTTTTCACCTCCGAATACTTGATTTTGCCAGTAAATATTCCAACATTTAATAATCGATCGCATATCTGAATAATTGGCACAGCACTACAGACGACCTGCGTGCCATAATTAGGGGCATCAATAATAGATTCCTGCTGATTGCATTGCTGTCCACCAAGCGTGACCCTAATTGCAGAATCTATGAGCATGATGTTGCATCACCATCAGCCCCCCCTATGCATCGTTCTTGAAAACATCTTTGCTCCCTGGGGAGGACGCGCAGGCTTGACGCTGCATGTGTCAGTGTTCGCAGCCAGCCAGACTTCACTACCTCCGTTGAAACAAAAGAACCATTTCTGCTCGGAGTATCATTTGTACCAATGCTGAGTGCTGCGTTGAGTTTCAGATAATGAGCACGCACCAGGCCGCGTCTGCAAACGAAAATGTACGAGACATTGTGTTTTGAATTGGTCTGCGTGATCTGAATTATGCATGAGTGTGTTTGTGGAAAGGCTTAACCTTGTTTGCTATATGTAAATAGACACAACTTGTTGGATCACAAAAAGAGTTGCTTTGTATTCATAACAGACTGCTGTCGGTTTGGTGTCTAACCATAAATGTTTATTGTTCAGAATGAGTTGTTATAAACAGTATGCTCGCTGCTGTGGCACTTTACATACATCTACTGTACATGTATATTCCATTAATCTGTATAGAGCTCTGCACCCTGATGCTAATGGCTGTACTTTAGTGAGAAAGACAAACTCCTGTTAGTCTCATTAATTTCTCAGTTTGTTATCACATTGTTTTCCACTTCACAGAGTGGGTTTCTGCCCTTAAAATCTCATGTTATCCATTTCGATTTTTGCTGGTTTTTTTGGGGGGGGGCAGGTAGGGGCTTGATATCTCTTAGATGGGACTGTAAATCATGTCTTCCAGCTACTTTTGTCGGTGTCTGGGGCTGTTGCAGCAGAGTCACTGTTGCATTGTTTTTCCCTACCAACAGGTCAAAGTGTACAACCTCTTTGACCAGGAGCACACCGAGAACGACGTACTGGTCTTGGCCACAGACGGCTTGTGGGACATTCTCAGTAACGAGAAGGTGGTGGAGATCGTGATGGAGGTCATGCTGAGCTTCCCTCCCGGGGATTATAAGAGGTACAAAAAGGCTTTGGCTACGGCTAGGAAACATTTATCAGCATTTGAGGAAAACAGTTACACATGTTGTGGGTAAACATATTCTCATGAAGTAGAGAAATGTGTACCAATGTGGGAGAACAACTTGAAGAAGAACAAAACAAAATTTTGAGTGAAATATTCCTTTTCTGCAACTAAATGGAAAAACCAAGAATTATGGCAGTTCTTACACAGGAATTGTTAGACCGATTGGTTGTCATTTATTTTCTTCTTTTTTAAATTCAGGTATGCTTCAGCGGCACAAGAGCTGATCATGGCAGCCAGGGGGATCCTCAAATCCAACGGCTGGCGGACCAAGGATGGAAAGCCGGGATCCGGCGACGACATCTCGGTGTTCATCGTCCCTCTGTGCCACCACATTGGCCTGTCACCCCAGAACAGCTGGACGGAGTCCCACGACACCTCCGGTCTCGGCTCGTCAGACAGTCCACAGTGAGACCCAGAATTTTTCGCTGGGAGAAGCAACCAACTAAATTCAGGTGTGCCTGTTCAACCAATCAGCCTAGCCCTTAATTGTCCCGTAATTATCCAGCAACGATATGCTGCTTTCTTTTTTTTTTCCTTTTAAGTCTAATGGTGAAAATTCCACAAGTGGTGATGGTGCAGAGAGAGAGACCAAAATAGGGAAACAATATTAAAATTGCTAATTATTGTAGTGTGTGCTTGCCAATTTGTATGCGCGAGACTAATTGAGGGCGCTATGCAATCTACTATTACAGTCAAGTAAGGGCATGTCCTTGTTGTTGATAGGATGCTGGTTGCAGACTGATCTGTGTGCCTAGAAAATCAAGCCCCTGTCAGCAAATTGGGCAATTTAATGAGGAAACGTCATTTAGAATGAAATAGCTGACATCAAGACTGCTCGAGTACGTTACGTTTGTGTGAGTCATTGTGCTGATTGACCCAACTTAGTGCGTGCTTCATTTGGGGTGTGCGCTGTGGGAATATCAGACTGACTCAACTGAATGTCCACAAGCCGTATCCCGAGTGTGTATCTCTTACTAGTGTTGATTGAACCTGAATACAAACAAGTGTGCATGGCAACGAAAAATGGTGCTGATTGGCATTCAACTGAACCATTTCTTCACTTTGCTCTGGAGGGCACAATCTGGTGTGGATTCCAGAGCATTGTTTACGGGTTCAGTCCAGTACTACTGGTTAACGTGGAACATCTTTGGTCTTAAAGTATTATCAACCATAGGCTTGGCTGACGGCACGCTGGTCAATCGCACTGGGCCCAGTCTCCTGAGGTAGAATCACTGGTTATATCAGTAGCTACGTACACGTCATCTGTTTTACTACGAAGTGACGTGTAGGATAGTTTTGGTGCACCGCGAAGTGACGTACCATCCATAGACATTGTGCACACGATACGTCAGTTCGTGGTGCGGCAACCATCCACGATATGTCACTTCATGGTGTACCCAATGATGTATATCAAAATGGACATGAGGGAGCCAGGAGAGCAACCTGCTATGACAGCAGTTGGCTTGAATGCTTGCAGGCAGGTGGCAAGGAACATCAGGAACTAGTCACTTGTCAACAAACAGTCCTTTGTTGCAATCACTGTAATATTTGAGAGATGAACATGGGGTGTGCATGCTGATATTTCATTTCAAGCATTCTTAGTCAAACTGTGGTTAAGACCTTGAAACCACATGGCACTGACTCCCTGGTATGTGTTGAAATATGCACAGCTATCGCTGCCAAACTTTGTAAGTTGATCACGAGTGTTCAACCAGGCTCTAGTTCCGCAGTCTCCAGCATGAATAGATTTAGAAAAGGTCAAAAGTCAAAGTCTCTTCAAGCGCAGTTCTTGGTTGAATCCACAATATTGTAGGATTTGGATTCGCTCTTAAAGTGTGCCTTGCAGGATCCATGTCACAGAATTTTGTCTAGATCCAACCCCCCCTTCCCAGCTTTAAATACTGCCCTTGCGGGTCAGTGGGGACCCAGTTTTTTAAGCAGTGCACATGACTGATGACTATAAGGAAGTTTTCCATGTTTTACCCAAGTCAGGTTGTCATAGTGTGACCCAACAACAGTCACACATAAATTAGCAGCAAGGGCAGCCATCACGTAGATTGGTCTGTATATTTAGGTAATTCTAGAAATTAGGGGTCCTTTTTTTTCGTGTCCCTGTCACATCTGACAGGTGATTTTTGAAGTTCAGAGCGCATTTTCTAATTTCCAGGAGGGATGAATTAATGCAAAGTACCTGCCAAACTAATAGTAATAGTTTGAAATCAATTCCGGTGATCATTTCGAATAACAAAGGTCACATGTAACAGGGACACAAAAATGTCACACTTTTGGACCCCGAGTGCATAGAATGACCCATTTGCTTCAGCCAAGCAGGACATTAGGGGAGCATTGTATTCCAGTGATAAGTAAATTGGACAAAAAAAAAAAAAGAGCTGACAAAAGCATGCAGGTGTTTCTGTGGTATCGGTGGAAATTTGTACACATGTATGCCGGCCCTCACTGTAGATACAATGTACATGTACATGCTTTTTTGTTGACTCAACTGCTGTTTATTATCGATGTTCAAAGTTTATCAGTATCCTTAAAATGTTAGTCTAGCTACCAGTATGTTAAGCCCTTCTCCTCGGTTCTCAAACCCTGCCTCTTAAAGGAAGTAATAAAGAACGAGTTTGCAATATACGTGTAAAAAAAAAAATGAAATCTTGCAAAATATAAATATCACCTTTTTTCTGCACAATTTTAGCCAAGCTTAGTTGACAGTATTGAAAATAGGTAAGATTCAAAGTAAAACAACTCCACCGTAATTATGTTGAAGTGGGGATTTAGTTTGAGCTTCTTACATTATAATGCATTATTAAATACGTTTGCTCATATGTACTACTTGCAATACATGTACATGTAGACTACCAGTGTAGAGCACTGAAGTGTGACGTCATTTTGTACCAAGAAGTGTAGTATAAACGAATGGAGCGCGCGTGCGCACGCATATACTGGTTCTCGCACTAATGCCTCTTACATACATAATTATGCATATGACGTATCCACTTTGGTAGTCTGCATAGTGGTGACTAATTAATTTCATGATACATTTAATGTCCATGGATGACCCATCCAAAAGCAATACCTTGCCACAAAGAAGGGAAAATTGAGTCTAGGGTTGTCACAAGACACTTTGACAGCACTTAGCCGTCGCCATTTTGCCGTTGGTTTCAGGAATAGATTATTTATGATCAGGGATCAATGATGTATTCAGACATAACAGAAGGACAGAATGTACATAGTCATCGTCACTCAAAAGTAAGTACTGTAGTCACATACAAATCCCTGTTGGACTAACCGCTGCTGTAGGGTGGTATTATTTGTATAAAATGTATCTCCTGCATATTTATGAGTTGGTACTGCTTGCTGATTGGATATTACTTTTGTGGCAGGCACTTCCAGTTTGAAACTTGGTTTCCTCGTTAGTATGGCCCATGCCCGGAAAACGAAAGTGTCTTGACAAGAACGCTTACTTTGTACATGTACGTTCGTGGGCATGGTGCATGCATTTGGCATCACTGGTGGGAAGCACCTTTTCCCGCAAGCCAACACAGAAAATTGACAGCGTGGGAACAGTAACTTTGTACATTCAAATGCATGCTGCATACATATTAGCATCTGTGCTTGTAGATATTTGGGGAAGGGAAGATAACACGAGCTTGCACTCCAATGGAACTCAGACCGATGCGAAATGCACAGAGCACAGCGCCTTGTAACACAATGCCAGGATCAAACGGATAAAAACGCTTGAAGAAAGACTCTGTCATGAGTCAATGGAGCAATTGTTCCAGCCTTGTTATTGTATGTATGAAATTTGCATTAAATGCGGATCGTAATAATGTTATTTGCAGCTGGATACTGATGAGATAAATGTGCCAGTTAAAGTCTAAATGCTGTAATGTGTGAAGCTGAAGAGTTCTTCCAGTTGTGCTGTGTTTGAAGTTGAGCAAGGACCTCGAATGAATGGTGCTGCATATGCTCAGAAGTAAGAAAAGGTAGCATTGCAGTTTATCTCGTTTTGATCAGTATGTGTTTAAGAATAGAAAACAAACATGGAGTGTGTACATATGTCCCGGCGTACCTGTGAGTCATTTGTGCACATCACTTTATCTTCTTTTGTTTTTTAAAGAAATGACAGCTAATTAGAAAGTGTCCCGTCTTGCCACTTCAAGGCCATACTTTGCATGAGGTAGAGACAGCATAAACTAGAAGTTAATTGTAAAATTCTAGTCCTTGTCTCCTGTGTCTCGCATAACTTGATTGTTGATGCGTTAGTGTATTTTGCCTTTTGTAATGTGTTGTTTGAACCCAGCCAGGGAAGTCTCCTCATGTCCATAAGCAAGATGCTTAACTGCAATGGGAGACTTTTGAAAAACTCGCTGGTGGCAGATACCGGTACTCTAGTCCGTTCACTTTGTTTACATCATATTTGAGTTCCTGTGCACATGCTCAAAATAAGAGAAATAATAGACAGACATGTTTGTTGCTGCCAAGTGGCTCAAAAGTCTTTACCACAGTTGCCTCCATGAAAACTTGCAGCCAATCAAGATTGGGTTTGAAGCAGGCAGAGGCATGATTGTCCTCGTATTCATAGGCAAGACACTTTAATGCAGTTGCATCTGTGGGAAACTAAAATGGAGATTAGCTCCCATTGCGTCGCCTTTAATACTTTGTTCATGTCCACCATCCGAACTTTCATTTAGAGCTGGGTTTATACTCAGCTGGTAAATCATGACAACCCTCTCCAAACGTTTGCTGTGATCTCGTTTTGCCAACCAAGAGGTTTTTTTGTCTCATTTCAAAAGGACGCTGGGGATTCCTCCATCCCATCTCAGTATATTGCCTTGGCAAACAACTGATCTTTAGAGTGACACTGATTTTATCTTGTCTGTTAAGTTGCTACAAAACATTTCTGTACAATAAAGTATAAAAATGCTGTAATTGGATATCATTGTGTGTACAAATAAAGGGAAGTGTAATGTTAAAGTTCTCCCAAGCTTAGCCCAAGTTAGCATAGGAAAAAAATGTATTTTTGTTACATGAAGTGCCAAGATTGTTACTTTCAGATATCAAATTCCAATGAAATATTGGAGGTCTCTATAATTTTATGTAGAGAGCATTTAAATTTCCCAAATTTAGGAATTTTATTTGTTGAGGCATAGGAGCAGTTTGGTTTCTATCACAGAAAGTGGCTTCTACCACTAGAATTTAGATCAAGCACTGGACAGTACAGGCATATCAGAAGTTTTTTTTAAATTGCAATAAAGCAGTGTAGGATGCTTGTATGTACTCCGGCCATTATGAATTTTGTTTATAAGTGTGCATTAATTTACCTATTCAAGTACTATTAGAATAATTTACCTATTCAAGTACTATTAGATTTTGGTAATTTTTGCCACTTCTCATCATATTGATTTCATAAATATTTGTGAATCTGATTATATTTTGTAATATTAATTATTCCAACAAAAGTTTTATAGTACATGTACTGAAAAAAATCTTAACTTTCAAATTCTTGCTTTTTCTCTAGGTATAGATAACAAGGGTTTTCTTCTGTATTAACTTCTTTTATAACTTGAATTCTTACTTTTTTTCTCTAACAAGGGTTTTCTTTTCTTCTGTTTGCCAAAGGATATATTGTCATTGATTTTAAAATTTAAAAAAAAGTATAGTCGGATTTTAGTTCAAAATTAAAATGCAAATGATTTCTAAAAGGAAGACTTTTGCATATTTTGTTGTAATTGGTCTCTTCCTTTCAAGAAGTCTGTCATCTTTTCCTAGACCATCATCAACCCTGAAAACAAAGAAAGCAACAGATACCCATAAACATAATGCACAAGTACAAAATACATATATGAGATAAGAAATGCTGATCCCTCCTACTCCAGAATAAGAAATCTTGACACAAACTATATTCTCCGATAGTCATAGTTTTTATTGCAAGAGTCGCAAGACCTGTCTTTCCTCTTACAAAACAAAGATGGTATTTACATGTAAAAAATGTGGGGTGAAGGGCTTTGTCGGGGGACACTAAGGGAAACGAAATTGAAATACATTTGTTTCAGCCGAGGGCTAGACAAAGATAAGTACAGTACATCCTCTGGCAAATTTAGGCCTTGCATATGTGCAGGGAGTAAAGACTTCAAAATACCCCTTCCAAACAAAACTGCTCTCCCAGCGTGTCTTGCAGAAGGTCGGTAGGACCAATCTATGGATTTCTCTTGTGAAAATTAAATTGTATTTCAGGGATCATAAAAGGTTAACTGTGCACAAAGAGTGTTAGTATTTTCCAGGACTAGTGAAGACACTGCCTTACAACTTTCAACGCAACACATCTTGTTCCGGCAAACTTCCAGCATCTGTTGCATATGCAGCGAGGTATGAGACGGAG